GTTGGGTGTGTGGTTGCATGCGTTGTTGGATGGGTGGCTGGGTGGGTAGTTTCATGTGTTGTTGGATGTGTCATATACTCCGTGGTTAAAGATGGTTTAGGTCTTCGACGTCTGCGGGTAGTTTCATCTGTTTCTGAATGTGTTGTTAGATGTGTTCCTGCATGGCTGCTTGAGTGTGTTGTATCATGGTTGTAAGCGACTATGTCATCGTCATCCGTGCCATCTTCAATAGCATCAACATATGCGAACGATAGAATATACACAAATAAAACAATGCTCGTCAATAACAGAATCTGTTTAAAGAAAAAATCAAATAAAAGAAATAAATATTCATCCACTAAACAAAGTTTTTCATACCTTCCGATTCATCATTATGTTTTTAAAAATATCCTTTCACTGTAATCAAATAAGTAAAAGCACTGCCTTTTTATAATCAATTGAAATAATCTTTCTCTGTATTTTTCTCTTTGTTGGTAGCATAGTTATCCTCCTACATTAGAAGAATTAAAATGGAATAGATAAACGAGAAATAATTTGTTGTATTTGAAATAAACTGATAAGGGTGATATGTAACTATTCTGATTAACAAAAATATGCATTGTGCAAAAGAATAGTTATGAAGGTATTTGAACGAAATATACAGATAAAACGAAGTAGATTTTTGGTTGATGGTATATATTTAATCAAAAGTTTTGTTTTTACGATTCAAATGTAAACTGGTATAAGTTTTAAACATGATTCCTAATCTTTAAAAATAATTTAAATAAGAAAAATGTTTGTGAAATGACTTGTACATAATTATTAACTATCGGTTAGAAACGAAAACATAGTTTATGAATGATAATGGATTATTTTACAGTGAGTGAATCTAATATCAAAAGATGCCTGATGTACTTGAAAGAAATGATATAATTTCTTTTGACAGTGAGTCATCATCATTCTTTCAAAGATGAGCGTTTTGTACTGAATTCAAGAAATACTTTAATGATGAATTTATTCATTAGCTAGTCTTCGAAATCTGCTATTTATCAAATAAACTAGTGATATCAATAAACTTTGCTGTGGAATCAACACCGGACAATCATCCATGCACTACACATATGTATTATTTTTGCATTAAATTTCTCTACGAAGATCAAATTATAATACTCAACAATAGCATATAGCTACATTATCCATATAGAAAATTCTTTCAATCAATTTTCATAATTAATTAAAGAACAATTCATGTAAATGAATTGAAATGAATATTTTATTTTTTTTCTCTATACTCTTTGCGCATATATCCCTTCTTCACACTCCAAATATTATGACAGCTATTTTTTATGACTATATATTTTAGTACGTAACGATAACGACTACGATGATAATCAAATTGTTGTTAGGTACAAAAGAATCAAAGAATGCTGTCAAGAGTGAATCTAAATTGTTAAGAACTTTATTGTTTTTCCATTTCAATAGATAATAATTAATGAATCATATTGATAAACTCTTTCAATAACAAAAGTCTTTTGAATATTTTTTATTCAAATTTATGTTGCTATAAACAGCTGTCTTGATTCTATCGTTCTATATCAAATATATTCGATCTAATACGAAGAAAATATGTATTTTAGTATTTTATAATTATTCAAGTGTCCTTGTCAGGCTAGACAATGTTCATTGATAAAAGAAAGAAATTATTTACCCCTAGTAGATATGCTTCACTCATTACAAAGTAAATAGTAATCATTATCTCAATCGAAGAATAGAATATTGTGAAATCAGGAATTGTACATCTGTCTCACTCATCTACAAGTAGAAGTTAAAAAGTTTAAAAGATTTCAATAATATTTCTTTTAATCTTAAGAAAATATTATTGGTTTTTCTTTGTGATAGAAACATAAAAAATAGGTTAGAAAGCCTAGTTTTCAAACAAATTTTACAATACTAAAAATCATATAGATAGATAGTAACTCACTACATTGGAAAACGATAGAAGTAATAAAACTGCAAGATTCAGTATTTAAGATTAAACAAAATATTCTAACATTTTCTTTCATATGAATCAAATATATTTAGTATAAAACTTATATTGTTAGTGATAGATTCTATTAATTTTATTTAGTTATATATTATATAGTGTGAACGGTAAATTTTCTAGATATCCTGTAAAGAAATTAAATACAGTAAAACCTCCCAAAATGAACACCTCTGGTTTGAACACATTTTTGGTCCCCCCGATCGATTTTTGCTGTAAATAGACCTCCGCAAGATGAACACCTCCGACTTCTGAACAATGAACGCTTTTTTTAGTCCCTTCTGTAAAAGAAAACCTCTATATAATGAACATATAGTGATTAACTGTACGTTCTTCTATGAAACACGGAGCTGAAAAAATATGCTGTTCATATTAAGGAAATGATAAATCAGTTTTTGACGGTCAACTCATCATAACAAGCTCTGTCGTATGTATGGATCAAACAAAACAATGTGATTAATCGGCGATGAGTTAATCGATTCTATATGATAGGACAACATGCATTCTATCTTCGATTGTAAAATGAAACAGAACACACACGTTAACTTTGTCTATAAAAATGCAGTTAATTAGTGAAAATGAAAATAACGCTTCATATCGTACAATTACTGCGAAGTACAAAATCTCGGTCGGTAGTATCTCAATTACCGACTTTTCTTAGAAAAAATAAATAGATGTGAATAATAGACAAAAATACTTTCTTTTACTAGTTTTTGTTTAAAACAAAATAGATCTTTAATATTTTAAAGATAAAAAAAATGTTTTTTTTTTATTTTTCACTTGATAATTGAATAAATATGTGAAATAATTGAAAAAGATAGTGTTTTAGAATTAATAGTAATAGATTTTAATATCAAGATGCATAGCTATCATTTGTCCATACTAATATTATATGGTGTATATCTAAACCTTTATTTAATATGAAACCTC